TTTTCTTTTATTTGCTGCCAAATAATTTTCTACATAACACGATTTTGAACTTTCTAAGTGTAAATTTGAAGAAAAATTCTCTAGGCCTCACTTTCTCTACCTGTAAAATGAAGAACATAGACTAGAACTCTGACTCATTTTCCAGCTCAGAAAATGCTAGCGCCTTTAGACTGCTCTCACCTCTTGAAAACAAAGTCATGGTAATGTGCTACACAAACCTTACGAGTTTATGTCAATAAACTTCAGCTGGACTTCTGGTAACTGTCTGCCTTGTAAGTTAACACTTGTTCAGAAGAATTATGTGCTGAATATACTCTAATATTCTGTTACTTTTAGGATGCTAATATGGTAATAATTTTATATACTGCTGGGATTCTCTCTATGTTCATTCCTTCAAGTTAGCTTCATTGTTACTGAAATTCTGAGAAAAGGGAAAACCCTGTTAAGTCATGTTTGTAGAGTAAGAAATTAAAAACAAAGATGAATCCATTATCATTTTAATTTACTTCATCAAGAATTTTTCCCTTGTCTGCAAGTTACAAATTCCCTCCTTTGCCTACTTTTCTCTATAATCCATTCTCTTGTTCATCTTCCCTCTATAGCCCAAGTCTCCATTGCCTGCATGAAATATATTATTATACTCAGTAGGGGAAGTGACTGCACCCCTACACACAATGTCTGTGTGCACAAAATAAATGTCAAGGAAAGACCTACAGTTGAGTGGTAGCCTCTTTACAAGATGTCATCAGGCACCTATCATTCATGTAGATTATTTCACAATTTACAGGGCAATGCTGCATTGCTGTATGAATTATGTTAGATGTTTACTACTTAAAATGTCATTTAAAATCGAACATTCCCCCCAGCATTTTTATAAAGCTCTTCTCTGATATAGTTCTTCAAAATGTTATGATGTTATAAAATCTAACGATTTTGTTAACATAAACAAAATAGACATTTCAGCGACATAGACATTTCTTATTTAATTAATGCAACTAATGGAGCTTTGAGGACTGGTTTTTGGAATCACTGACTTAGAAAATAAGTAAGGGCATTTCTTCTACATTCTGTTTACTCAGAGAAAGCAACTACTAAAAATTGTATATGTATATAAACACTTTAATGTGAGTAGACATGCTTTTTCTATTATTCATTTTGCAATTAAACTGCTTTTTGATAGTAGCTGAAAAAACATAAAGACTTTAAAAAAATACAACATACATGATTTATTTATGAATGCATAAATCTATATCACAGTTAAATGAACTCTGTGATACTTACACTTAAGTTGTTTGCTATGACAGTATTTTTAAAAAGTACTTCCCTAAATGACCACAATAGAAAGTTGGAAAGATCTAAAATTGACACCCTAACATCACAATTAAAAGAAATAGAGAAGCAAGAGCAAACACATTCAAAAGCTTGCAGAAACCAAGAAATAACTAATAGCAGAGCAGAAGTGAACGAGATAGAGACACGAAAACCCCTTCAAAAAATTAATGAATCCAGGAGCTGGTTCTTTGGAAAGATTAATGAAATAGATAGACTGCTAGCCAGACTAATAAAAGAGAGAAGAATCAAATAGACACAATAAAAAATTATAAAAGGGATATCACCACTGATCCCACAGAACTATAAACTACCATCAGAGAATATTATAAACACGTCTACACAAATAAACTAGAAAATCTAGAATAAATGGATAAATTCCAGGACATATGCACTCTCCCAAGACTAAACTAGGAAGAAATCGAATCCCTGAATAGACCAATAACAAGTTCTGAAATTGAGGTAGTGATTAATAGCCTACCAACCAAAAAGCCCAGGACCAGATGGATTCACAGCCAAATTCTACCAGAGATACAAAGATGAGCTGGTACCTTTCCTTCTAAAACTATTCCAAACACAGAAAAAGAGGGACTCTTCCCTAACTCATTTTATGAGGCTAGCATCATCATGATACCAAAACCTGGCAGAGACACAACAAAAAAAGAAAATTTCAGGCCAATATACCTGATGAACATCGATGCGAAAACCCTCAATAGAATATTGCCAAACCGAATCCAGCAGCACATCAAAAAGCTTATCTAGTATGATCAAGTCAGCTTCATCTCTAGGATGCAAGGCTAGTTCAACATACACAAATCAAAAAACATCATCCACCACATAAACAGAACCAATGACAAAAACCGCATGATTATCTCAATAGATGTAGAAAAGTCTTTTGTTAAAATTCAACACTCCTTTATGCTAAAAACACTCAATAAACTATGTATTGACGTAACTTATCTCAAAATAATAAGAGGTATTTATGAGAAACCCACAGCCAATATCATACTGAATGGGCAAAATTCTACCATTCCCTTTGAAAACCTTGTCTTGTGCAGCAAGACAAGGATGCTCTCTCTCACCACTTCTATTCAACATAGTATTGGAAGATTTGGCCAGGGCACTCAGGCAAGAGAAAGATAAAGGTATTAAAATAGGAAGAGAGGAAGTCAAATTATCTCTGTTTGCAGATGACACAATTATATATTTAGAAAACCTCATCATCTCAGTCCAAAAACTCCTTAAGCTGATAAGCAACTTCAGTGAAGTCTCAGGATACAAAATCAATTTGCAAAAATCACAAGCATTCCTATACACCAATAATAGACAGAGAGCAAAAATATAAGTGAAATCCCATTCACAATTGCTACAAAGAGAATAAAATACCTAGGAATGCAACTTACAAGGGATATGAAGGACTGCTCCAAGGAGAGCTACAAACCACTGCTCAAGGAAATAAGAGAGGACACAAACAAATGGAAAAACATTCCATCCTCATGGATAGGAAGAATCAATATCATG